GATCACTTTATTCAGCTAATGATAATCAATACATAACTCAAACTCTTATCCTTTTTCTTAACAAACAAAACTAGGGCATCCCATGAAGAAACTAGGTCGGATAAAACCCTTATCTAACAAGTCCCGAAGCTCGAACCTCCAACTCTTTTAACTCAACTCGGTGTCATTCAATAAAGAGGTATATAGATAGGTTTGGTGTTCGAGAGCAATTCAATATCGAACTCTATCTCTTTATCCGGAGGTATACTAGATAATTCATCCGAAAACACATCGAAAAACTACCTATAACTACGACTTGGTCCAAACTCGACTACATTATCATTTATCTCCTTCACATATGCCAAATAAGTCATACACCTCTTTCTCATCATCTTATATGTCATAATGGCAGATATTAGGTTAGAGGGAGTTATACTCCGTTCTTCTTAAAAAAAACACTCATCTTCTCTTAGATTCTCAAAATACACCACCTTATTATAGCAATCTAATAAAGAATGATAATTTGTTAACCGATCTATTCTTAAAATCATGTTAAAATCATTCATATCCGATAATATTAATCCACAAGTAGATTTTTACCCATCATCCACACATCAAAGTTTCTAAAAATTAAATCAGCTATCATATAATCTCCGATAAATGTTGACACTATCAAATACTACTTTAACACACATTGACTCATATCGAATCTCTTAACAAAATATGGCAATACAAAAGAGTGGGTTGCGTTGAATTAAACAATACCCTTGCATCATAAGATAAGATTTCAAGGATACTTGACACAATGACATTAGATGCCTAAGCATCCTACTCGGATGATGGAAAAAACTCGAGCCCGGCCACCACTAGTACTCTTCTAACCCCGACCTTCTAAGCCTTCATGATCCCTACCGACTTGTCCTCGACTTTACCGTACTTTATCGTCAAATCCTTGATTAGCCATCAAACTTGCCATCATATTGACTCGGGGATGAATTGGTCGTAGGACAAGCCCGTAACCTTAGAGCATAAACTTGGAAGAGCCTTACCACATGTTTGAAAAATAAGATACCCCATTCTAAAACCGTAATGAATTGAATGAGATGATCCTTGGCTCATGCTCATATGTGACCCTTCATGACCACTCTATCTAGAAAAACTCCTCTAAGAACTAGAATAGCTCGCATATAGATATCTTTGTTAGCTCCACCACTATGAACTTTATACCTACTCGGATGTCAAGGTATCACTCTTAACTCCCCATCCCCCTCCCTTTTTTTTTTTTTTTTGCTCTTTAGTTGTTTTACTCTTCATTCTCCTCATCTCAAACTTATGAGCACAATCAACTATTTTAAAATAACTCGAAACTTTTGAGGAAGCACAATTGTAAAAAATAGATCTATTAACCCATTCACAAAGCTTTTCACTCTCTTTTCCTCAATAGGGATCATCTCTAGAGCATAATGACTCAACTCGCAAACCTCCTTTCATACTTTGTATATTGAAAGTTACACTAATCTCTCAAACTCCTTAGCCCTTTCCTTCCTAATACTCTTAAGTAAAAAAGCTTCCCTAAATTGCTTTTAAGACCAATCAAGTTTCTTGTCTCATTTATATCAATCACCGGCACTTTCCTCAAGTATAAACACTATCGACTCAATATTTCTCTCATTAGGACATCAAAGCATAACAAGCTTTTTCTTTATCTAATCCATAAAATGCATAGGATCTTCATCATCCTTGTCATCAAAATAACCCAACGGTTTTAGCTTCAAAACTTCAACAATATAGGGGTCAAACCCCATTAATCTTGGTCGGGTGTAGTTGTAAAGGTACATGTTTCACCCAATCCCTAACTAGTAGACACCAATCTAGCCATGGCTTATAAAGTATACCTGGATACCCCTTACCATCATCCTTACCATACGTTGTATGGTATGAAAACCAATCGGGATGTTAGCTAGCAATGTCTTATCGTGGTTTACTTCTTCCCTAACTTTAGCTCTACCATGAGATTTTGAAGGTCTAGATGATGCCTCGGCCTCGGCACCTCCTCCTACATGATCACCCGACCTAGTCCTTATTATGGCCAACCTAGATGAAACACAAACTTAGATTCGATAAATTTCAAGAGATATGAATTCAAGAAAATAAAATAATTCAAAGTAAGAATGTGGATTAGAATAAAACTTATACTTTGTAGTTACTCTAGACTCTAAAACTTATACTTTGATACCAACTTTATCATGACCCTCGAAGTGGCCATGGTTGGTGCAAGAATCTATGGAGTCGTGAGACCCACTTCGACTCAAGCAAGTCTTGAATATGTAAACTATACTTCTCAAACTTGTAGCATATTGAATATCATTTCTAATTTGTAATATCATAACCTAATAGTTAATACTTTATAAATCCAGACATAAACAATAATTCTATAGTATTCTTGCATTTTCTAAAATAATATTCATAATCAACATTCTAATACAACTCTCATCTAATTCACAATACTTAAACATATCTAACATGATAATTATCAACCTAATACAACTCCTACAAGTATAATTGCAGAGCTTTTAAATGATACAACAATTATCAAGCATAAATTCAAAACATTACAATTAAATAAGTCGCATAATGAACATGTTGGCTTCAAGACAATGGCTCGAAGAGATCAATAGAAAATCTCACAAAATCAGTAAAGCCGAAATAGTGGGATGTGAGCAAATCAACAACTCGGTGAGTAGTTATTATATAACATATCTAAGGAAAGAAAACGGATTAAAGATAATAATTTAAAACCTACTCAAAATGCAATGTTTTTCTTAAAGTCAAATGCATATTGTAAATATCAAATCATTTATCATATCCTTAAATAGTTCAAATTCAAATCATATCAAACATCAAAATCTATATATAGAATAATCAAATTAAATCAAGTATCTAAATTTATACTTGGGGTGAAATAAACATAAGGTATCATTAGATGCGATCACCCAAAGGCTACGTCCTCTCGTAGTTAGCTTTTTGTATGTTAGTCGACACACGAAGTTAGCACTACACCTATCCCGTTAGTCGGAGCATTACGTATCGGTGAGTTCACAGAGCTACACCCCCATAGCTAAGTACTCTAAAGTAACCAATCAAATCAAAATCACATAAACGTATACATATTCCAAAAATATCCAAATCCAACATATCAAATAAAATTCATGCTCAAAATTAGATTTGATAATGCAATTCAATATCAAATCTCATACTCATAATTTAAACTCAAATACAAATTCATGTTAAAAATTATAAATTAAATACTTATTAAAATTATACGAATAAATCAAAATAAAAATTCTAAATTAAACTAGTAATTAAATCCATAAACACAAATCAAACCTTAAGTAAAACACTTATTCAAACACATATTCAAATCTTTTTTAACATCATATCAAACTATTTTCGATATTAAAATATTTCAAATGCACAAGGAGTTCATCTAAGTTCTAATAAATGTGATTGTATCATAATTAAATCGGTGATGCATAACAAATATATCAAAGGAACTTAAAATATAATATGTTATATATTATCCACTCATAGTACAATCGAATGATCAAATAAAATCAAGGTTCGCTGAGATAGAGCCCCCACTCGAAGAATCTAATGATACAAAATAGTTGAATAATCATCAATATTACATATCAATGAATAATTCAAAATAAATAAATTACTCTAGAAATCGAGATACAAGATAATTTATAATAATGAAATTGATCGGAAAGATTCGAATAAATGATTTTAACTAAACTCTTACTTTTTCAATCGATTCTAGACAATTACCTAACTATATTCTAAGTTCGCTCTACAATCTTTCTCTAACAATCCCATTTACACTTTAATACAATCAATCATCCATCATCAATTTCAATTATCCATCATAAATTCCCAATTCAATTTATTCCCACAACTTACCTTATAATCCATCATTTTTCCTTAACCTCCAAAACAATTAAATTCCTATTATTATATCAATTCATAATAAATCTTTCACTCCAATCAATAAACTCATAATTAAAATCTTTACTCAACAATTAATCAATAAATCCCAAAATTTGGATTTTACTATTTATCAACTTCAATATTTCAAAATTTCATATCCTACTATTCATCATGTTCAATTATCTTGAAAATTTCTTAAACTCATAGTCTAATAATCAATTCCACACCACTATTATCATATTTCAAGCATCAATTAACATAATTAATTGTTTAATCATCAAATCTTTAAATTTGATTCAAGCCCTAACCCTAACCTAACTCAATCCAATACAAATCAACTTCAAAGTCATCAATAAATGCATATAAATATCTCAATTTAAATACCAAATGACAAAATTTCTTACCTTTGACCATTGGTTTTTCAATCCCAATTTCAATCCTAAAACCCTTCGAACCTTTCAAACTTTAATTAACTTAGAAATGGAAGAGGAAAAGTGGTAGGAAGTAGAGAGAGTGAAAGAGGAAAAGAAAGGGAGGAGTGAAAATGAGGGTCAAAGTGGCTCTCCCATTTTTCTACCAAGCTCCCCCCCCTCCCCCTCCTCCTTTTTTTTTTTTTTTTTTTTGTCTAACACTCTAACTTTATTTACTTCAATTGTTTTCTTATTCTTTTCTTAATCTATAAAATATAAAAATTAATAAACTTTATTTTATTTTTGGATGGGTTATTACATTGGGAAGGAGGCAGGATGTGATAATGGCAAACAGGCAGTAGAGGAGGAGGTGTTGGAAGCATTTGTTTGTGACATTAGAAGGCAATAAAGTTTCAGCTCCTAAGCCTTATTAAAGCTCTAATACCATGAAAATATTTAATGTCTGATGAATTCAACATACCATTTAGTATTCCATATTGATGTATATATAGGTTACAGAGTATCTATCTGACAAGAACTAGGATATACATATAAGAATAAATAAAGCTCTATCTGATGTACAATCCTTATCTACTTTCAATCCCATCAGGTAGTAGCTACATGATCCTTCTCCTCTCCACTTATGAAGACCGGGTTTATGCTTGAATCACTTGAATGGACTGGAATTTGAAATTTATTTTTCCTTGACGGCGAATGGGCAGCTCTATTGTGCTGACTTAATAGAGCTGACTTTTCAATTATGCATAATCAAATTTGTATAAATGTTGGGAGGGTTCCATGGAGGCTGATTCTCCATCGCCATCTCTAATTTGGAAAGTCTGCGTCAGCTTGATATGCAATTGATCAAAGTATCAGTAATCTCAAGCTGCAAGGCTTTGCCACTGGAATCAGTCGAAATGTGTGCAGACAAGAGACATGAATCCTATGGCAATTTTTTCCAAAAAATATATATATATTTGGTACTGGCTATGAGAATCACAGTCCAACATAAAAAAACACTCAAATTTCAAGAAAATGGAATGCTAATTGTCGATAAAACAATTAATTTTAGTTACCAGCGTATTTGCAATGGGTTTTGCAGTAAAGCGTCATTATCTTATACTACTGGCATTCTCATTATTTCTTACAAAAAATAAAATAAAATAAAAAAACAGATTTTTTATTTCCATTCGAATTTGATATAATTAAATATATCTGATAAAAAAAATTATTCAAATCCGATTATTATTCGAATATGTTAATACATTTATTAAATGGATCAAATCTGAATCTACCTTATCTGATCTCATAGTAATTTTATCCAAATTAAAAATAATATTTGTATAATAAATATACTATTTTTTAAAATAATAAAAAATTAAATATAAATAAAATATATAAAGATGAAACTAGATTGAAATTTAGAGTTTATTTATTATAAAATTCAAAATATCCTTTAACAATGACAACTATATTTTTAAAAAATCACATATAAATTTTTTATTATTTTCTTAATTCAATTTCATGAAAAAAATTATAAATTAACTTATATATATTTTCAAGATTTGGTATTATTATATTTATCATCGTTCTATTTTTTATTCCACGTGGAAAAAAAAATCATTTATTATTTTTTTAATTTTATCATTTTTTTTACCTAGTTCAAGACAAATTGTTATTAAGATTATTTGATTTTGTACCTTTAAATTGTGTGACATTTTAAGTTTTTTACAAAATAGATATATAAAATATTATCTTAACATATTTTATTATACATGTAGTAATTAAAATATATTTTATATTCGAATAATATATGAAATATAGTAATCATAATTTTTTTATAAAAATCAAGTGATAAATCTACTCGGAGCTCGAATTCGATCGAAGTCAAATCCAATTTCACATTTTCAAAACCCGATCTGAATTTATAAAATTCGATCCGATCCGATTTATTAAATAAATCGAATTCGTATCTATTATGGTTCTATTCAAGTCTTATTTATTGACAGTTCTAATTATGAATTAATTTTTAATTCATTGGTAATATGTAAATTTCACAAAAGTTGAGATATTACAATTACGAAAAACTATTTATTATTTTTTTAGTAAAAATAAAACTATATATCACAAGTAGAGTTAATTTTACATTTAAAAAAGTTAAACTATGAATTTCATTTAAAATGTATTTTAAACTTCTTAAATCTTAAGAAATCAAGCGTGACAGAAAGGGCATCCACCATCAGGCATTAATTTCTCTTTCCCGTCAAAACCATAACGACGACGTATATCAATCTCTCAAAATGCAAACAAAATTCTTCACGATCCATAGAGCACCAAATCTGCTTCTCTCTTTGCCGGTCTCCTCCTTCGCTCACTCCTCAGATCTAAAACAATAAAAAAACTCCCCAATTTCCATCACTTTCCCGCGAAAACAAAGCCAACACATTCTCCCGGAAAATAATCCGAATTCCAAAATGTCGCACAACAGCGACACGATCCCTCTTCACGCATCTTCCCAGTCAGACATCGACGAGATCGAGAACCTAATCAACTCCTCCATCCAATCCAGTTCTTCAACCGTCCTACCCGCCCGCCCACCAAGCCCCCCCGAATACCCGTTTCCACCTCTCCATTTATCCAATCAAATCTCCCTCCACCTTCATCTCAGCCACTACACACCACTGTTCAGAAACCGCCAGCTGTCGTCCCTTCTGTTCCTTCCGCCCCTCTGCCTGCTCTGCCACCTAGCACTGGTAACTCAACCGGTGGTAATATTGCTCCGACCGGATTCGGGTCCCCTCCGAATACGTTGACGGAGCCAGTTTGGGATACGGTAAAAAGAGATCTGTCCAGGATTGTGAGTAATTTGAAGTTGGTTGTGTTTCCGAACCCGTATCGTGAAGATCCGGGTAAGGCGTTGAGAGATTGGGATCTGTGGGGTCCTTTTTTCTTTATTGTCTTTTTGGGTCTCACTCTTTCTTGGTCCGCATCTGTTAAAAAGGTTAGTAAAATTTTGTTTTAATGGAAAAGCTGTGAGTTTTGGTTAGTTTGTATATTTTATTTAGCTATTTTCTTTTTGTTTATTTACCTGTTTGAACTCTTTAGAGTATTTTTGGTATCTGATACAATGGAAATGGGAATTAGTAGGAATGAATATGTTTCGTTTGGCAATAGTATTGATGAAAGCTTTTTAGTCGTTTTGATTCTGTACAAGTTAATGGGGTTTTGAAGGAATTGGCGAAAGTTACCGATTAGGCAGGGATGATGGGTGCTGATATGTTTAACTATAGTTTGTAGATGAGGTAGCAATTTAGGCTTTACAATATGGGACTGCATTGGTGCTCCATGCACATAATAGGATCTGAATGTCGTCCAACTTTTAAGCACTGTCATATGGGGACATGTTAATTGCATCTGTTAACAATCACAGCAGCCATTTCGTAATGGGAATGGCCATTAGTTAAAGAGTGATGGCTATTGTTTTAAAAAGCTCTCCTGAAATTAATAAAATTGTCCAAATATTATTGTTGCTTTTTCAAACCTTTTAGGAAAACACTTAGTTTGTGTTGCATACATCGTAGCTTTGTAATTTAACAGTCTTTCTTGTGAATTTCTGGAAAATCTATGCATTAAGTAGTCTTTCTGGTGAATTTGTGGAAAATGTATGCATTAAAGATAAACTTTTGAATATTGTTTACAATGCCATGCATTCCATGACTGGTGAGACCAAGATGTAACACCCTTGACAGTGCGCAGCTGTTCAACCACTGATGCATTTTAATACATTCTCGTAATAGTAAACTAATTGGTAGGTTGAAGAACCAAGATTTATAATTTTGAGTGATAAAAAAACAGGGAACAATGGCATTTCTGCCCAACAATGGGGGCATCAAAGTGCTGTAGACTGTCATGAATAGCGCCTTGTGCCTTTAATTTTCATGTTTATGCCAATTGATTGTGATATTGTTGAGGATTGTAAATGTAAGGTTTGAAGGAAGTGAAAATAGGTCTGAATTTTTATTTGGTTTTTCTAAGAACAATAAATATTCGAAGTTTTATGCTTGGATTAATTCAAACATTCCTAGATGCCTCATCAGATTTCTTACTATCAGGATTGCCTCACAATCTGAAAGATGGCTAGAAAGCTTGTAGAAGTTTTACAAAGCTTTTTTTCGTCCCTGGAATAGAACATCGAAATTAGTTATGGACAATTGATTGTTGAAAGACTTTTGACTGTAAAACTTGGAAATGTGGACCCTAAATTAATAATGATTGCATAATAAGACCTGCAAACATGAAAACACTATGACAGAAATCCATTTCATACCTTTTGAACCGAAATTAACAAAATAATGTAGACTTTTTTTCTTCAAGAAGAAAATGAAAGAAATGGAACAGTAGGTTTTCTGGTGCAAAATAAATGTAAAATAATCGAACAAAACTTCAAAAGAATTCTAAGAATCTCTAAATTAATTTCAAAAGCATATTTTTAGGGTTTGTTTGGTGTTGGTGTTGGTTACTGTATAATGGCCACATAACTGTTGTGACTAAGAATAGCCTTTTTTCCTGCTTTCCTAGATCAATTTTTCAGCTTTTGCTATATAAACTATTGTTTGGTGACAAATAGCAACATTATCAAACTCGGCTTTGTCCCTGCTGTGTGGTGGTCACATAATTGACTTGTGATGTTCATATAGTGTTTGGATGTTTGCTGAGCACCTTGCTGCCCACAGTAGTCTCATGTCATATGAGTAGCTGAAAATTGATTTTAAAAATATAAGGAGGGGGTTATCTATGCTTATCAACTGTCATGTGGTCATCGTGCAGCAACTAACAACAAGGCCAAACAAACCCATAGTTGTTACATGGTGGCACTGAAGCAATTGTATAGTTACTGAAAAGCAAGGCCAAAACAACTTCCTAAATAATCAGTGACTTGATATTTAAGCCTGCTCTTTTGTCAATGCCTTGCATCACTTCTTCACTTTTTATATTTTGATTGGTTATCATATCCAAGGCAGAATGTGCCAGATCAATCAGAAAGTTCAGTTGGAATTTGAGTGCTCCTATGTGATTTTGGTGTTGACTTGTGATTTCTTTTTCTTCTCATTTTCTATCTCTGTGCATGTCTTGTCAGATTTCTATTTTCGTGGCAATGATGAACTTAACCTTGATGTTCTTGCAAGATCTAGAAATGGATGAGTTCACATTATAGCTATATATGAAGCATGGCCTATGTAGAGTGAAACTAAAATTATCCCACTCTGGATTAAGGATTATAGCTGCCTGTGTTGTTCATATGTTTATTATACTGTTCAAAGGAAGCATATGGTTTTTTTATTAGAGTAAAATGTTGCAAGTTTGTTGTTCAGTTCTAACAGCTGTCATGTCGTTTTCCAGTCTGAGGTTTTTGCTGTTGCATTTGCACTGCTTGCAGCTGGTGCTATAATCTTGACACTGAATGTTCTCCTGCTGGTAATAGCTTCTTTCTCTTGCTCTTTCCATGAAACACAATCAAGCAAATCCCTGTGTGTGTATCCCACTGGATTAAACACTATAGCTGTCTTAAATTTTTTGTTTATTGCTAGTTTTGTATTAAGTCAAATAATGTTGTTGCATAGATCAATATATATATATATATATATATATATTGAAATTCTATTGAATTCTGGTAATTTAAAAGCCTCCCACGTGCCTACATTGAAAGTGATTTGCATCTTTGCTGTTTCAGGGTGGACACATAATTTTCTTCCAAAGTCTGAGCCTCCTCGGTTACTGTCTCTTTCCTTTAGACATTGGAGCCCTCATCTGCATGTTGAAGGACAATGTAATAGTAAAAGTGATTGTGGTATCCGTGACGCTGGCTTGGAGCTCCTGGGCTGCCTATCCTTTCATGAGCTCAGCTGTCAACCCAAGAAGAAAGGCTCTTGCACTTTACCCTGTATTTCTCATGTATGTATCAGTTGGTTTTCTCATCATCGCCATTGACTAATGCATCGGCAACTCCGTTGTTGGAAATGGAAATTTCGCAAACAATTAAACTCACAGCAGTACATAGGAATTTTACATGTGCTTAATTTTCTGCTCATCACTGTATTTTTTGACCTTCTTTTGACTAAACATATTTGGGGATTTAATCTGCCAGATTTTATAGTAGTGTGAAACTTTGATGTGGCTTTGTGCCCTGCTTCATGTCATTTCTGACTGAGAGCGGTGTTTGAGAGGTTCCTAGGTTCCTGAGGTGAAAATATGGTCCAGGCTGTAGATGGATCTTCAGCTGGATCTGTCAAATTTTTTTTTTTTAATCATTTTAATGCTGCGTCCCAAGATGTAAGCTTTAGAGTCACAAAAATTCTCGACCGTTCTGTTATTATTTGCTTGCAATTTTTTTTTTTATAGTTTGTATTATTAAGTAAAAATTAAATAAAAAACATTAAAGATACAGATTATTCTAGCATCTTTTTTCTTTTTTTTTCAAATGTTATTGTGGAAACTGGAGTTTCTTGACATTAGGAACAAAATGTTTCCTCGATGTTTAGAGAGAGGGGGAGAGAGAGAGAGAGAGCGCAAGAATGGATGCCATCTGGTGAAGTCTAGTTTGGAACCTGTGATTTGTTAATTACACTGGAAAGGAGACGCTGCTTCAAATTAAGCCAAAAAAAACTGTTAAGCATGGTGCTAAGAATGGATACTTGCGATTTGTTAGTTACATTGCAAATCAAAAGGCTTGTTATCACTTATTTATGGTTAAGTAAAGAAAAAGATTAATAAACAATGATGCCAAGGCATTCTGATGGTTTCCATCTGTCTTCTCTTTCACCAGGAAGGAAGGGGATGACGTAGAAAGAAGTCCCCAAAATGGCTGCTAGAAGTGTAGTTGATGCATTAGTAATTGAATTCCGTATCACTGATTAGTAACCTTCTAGTGGAGAGTTTAAGAGGTAGATGCATGAAAAACATGAGCAAAACACCCCACGCTGGTCAAATGCATATCACGACACGACACTGCTTGTTGCTTACAACCAAGAAAATCAATTTGTTGGCTCTACAAACACAACCAAGAAAATTCAAATGTATTAACTTGATCGAATATTGACTCAAATTTACTTATTAATGTGCACCGCATAGTTAAAAGATTATAATTATATTGAAATTCATAACACTTGCATTGACTCAACTGCGGTCACCAGGAGCAGGGAAGATATAACATCAAGATTATGCCTTTTGCACCAGCAGTTGAGCCGCTGCACTATAATTCAAACAGTTTCAGTTAACTAAATCAGACAACAGGTATAACTAGAGCATTTCAACATAATCTTAGCTCTGTGAGAATTCCATGCTTTGTTGAGAAAAAATCATGGAGTATTGTGGAAATATAAAGCAGTCTAATATCTGAATTTAACTCTTCATAACTTCAAATTGAATAGAATTTCGTGTATGGAAAACTCAGACCTCTCGTAAGATGCCTAATATAAACAGGGAGAGTACTTTAACAGAATGCATCATAATACAGTTCAATGCATATGTTTTGTTGCCGATATTATCTTTGGCAGAGTATTATGCATTTGATTATTTGGTGTCAATAACACAAGCAATTCTTCATTACAAAATTGTGCACCAGCTCAATTCGACCTTCGTGTATAGTGCACATAATACCAGCATAGCTCATCATGATGGTAACGTAGAAATTGCAGATAACCACACCTGAAATATGGGAGAGCTATATAATGTTTAGAAACAATGAAGCATGCCCAATGCTTAATACCTGAACCGTTCTATGTCATTTGAATTTCCAAAGTCATCTTCGAGCACATATAGAAGCTTCCTGTAAGTAATCCCATCCACTAGGTCTTTTTCTTGCCACTCCTTCAACAATCTCGTGGCCTCCCCAACCCTTCCTCGCCGGCAGATCTCATCCAATATCGTCCTGTATGTGATTAAATCAACTGACCTGTGCTTCTCAATCATCTCCGACAAATAATTTACCGCTTCCTCAACTTCTCCACCAAGAGCCAAAGCATTCACGAACGAGTTGTATGACTTGTTGCTTGGGACAAATCCTTTTTCCTTCATTTCATCAAACATCTCCCTAGCATTATTTGTTCGCCCTTGTGCACATAATCCATGGACCAGATAATCGTAGGAAAATGAGTTAGGCAAGCACTTGTAGACCACACCCATTTGATGGAATACTCTCAAAGCATCATTGATATGCAGAGAAAGAACATAGCCTTTTATCATAGAATTCAATGAGAAAATATCAGGCTCAATCCCATCATCTGCCATCTGCTTAAACAAGCATCTCATTGTCTCCATATACATATGATTTACATAAGAATTGCTTCCCCTGCTCAACATTGCCGTGAGAAGAATATTATAGGTTCTAATAGATGGTCTGCAATCCAAGTTTCTACTGCTTTTCATGCGCTTAAATATATTCACCGCTCTAGTCAGCTTTCTTGCTTCTGTAAAATAATAGATAATCGAATTGTATGAAGCCTCATTACCAATATGAGGAACAGCAAGAAGTTGGTTGACAACATCATCCATCTCTTGATACATTTTGGCAATTCCAAGCTTCTTTATAGTGACATGATAAGTAGATGCATCATGCCTAAACCTATGCTGTTGTGATGCCCAATTAAAAAGCGCCAAACAGACTAAAGGATCATCTTCAAGTGTTAAGATATTGCACAATTCATCATTGGTGAATCTTGATGGGAGTTCGGAAATTGCTTGTTGAAATTTAGCTTCATCAAGAACAGGCTTGCTGTTGGCTTTTTCTCTTTTATTTTTTCTCCTTCTAAACGATCTTGAAGGGGCTTTAGTTGAGTAAAAAGTAGCAAATTTGAAACTTGGGAGGATTTGGGTTTGAGCTAAAAGGTCTGTATCTTTCAATTTTCTAGCAGTGGGATTCAAATATGAAGAAATAACAGAATATTGGGTCACTAAGGGAAATGGAGATTTAGCCAAGTGTTTGGAGTGAAATGTTTTTATGGAGGACAGCTGATTGATACAATGTTTTTTAGAGTAGATGTACGTTAAGTAATCTCCACGTATAGCACCCTTCTTTGTCCACATCTTTAAAACTACAAAAAAGAGAAAAAAAAAAAAAAAAGGAAGGAAAATTACTTACAGTTTCCCTTAAGAAAGCAATCAGAAACAACTCACATACCAGGAAATATTTGATCATGTTAATGTCAAAACTGGATGCTCAATAACCCACAAACAACAAATGGATGTGCATCTTCATCTCCAACCATCAAGAAGGAAAGTAAGGAAATGGTGAGTATTAGGTCCTCACCATCAATAGAAACCTATGGTTAAACTAGGAGGAATAATAACAGGAGAATCTCATTTTCTAACCCCAAAAATTCAGATATTAATAGCAGACTGTATATTATTTAGACTAAACATATATCACAAATTTCCACACCCAGCAAAATATCAATTTGAAATCACCAAAGCCTGCCATTGTGTGTCCAACTATTGCGCTTGTGAAGTTAATGGTTGTGGTGTTGAGTAAATATGAAGGTTATCTAGGAACATAGGCATGCATGATTATGTGGGCTGCCAACTTGAAAACTTATAACACCCACTACCCGTCGCACCATAGAGGTTCTGCTACTCGATTTCTACCAATAACAACTCAATAAAGGGTGGTTTCATAATGGCTGGTTGTCAGCTGAGAGACAGACTACATTGCTAAATGTTATAGAAGCAAGACACCAGCTCTCACTTTTAGAAACAAAGGGGGTACTAGGAGGGAAACATTTACCTTGTTCATAAGAGAGGAATAGCTAATATCCAGTCAACAACTTCCTGCACAATTTAAATTAACAGGGAAAAAAAAATCAAACACAATGTCATAAGCAGTAAACAAGCCACATACAGCGTATACAGAATTCATTCATTCTTCCCATTACACAAGACAAACAAGCAAGAGATATGCTGAATATCAAAGAAGGCAAGCCAAAAAATAAATGAAAAGCGAGCCCAATTAACCAACAATCAAGAAAAAAGCAATCAATTCATAAAAGGGAGGGACTTACGAATTTAAAGAAAGAGAGAGAGGAATGGGAGATGGATGAATTAGGGTTTGATTTCTCGCCTTCTGTTACAGCTGAAAGTTGAGATGTATGCTTCCTTCCTTCCTTGTAATTAAACATTGCAAGAAGAAGATTGGCAGAGTGCTAACTGTGTACTATTGTTTATTTTGATTTGTGAAAAATAGAAAAAGAAAAACAAAATTATGTATTTTAGGCTCCATTGATGGGCTTATAAAACATAGGTTATGGGGGTAAACATTACCAAGCCCATAGGCCCAGAACAACCATAATATGACCCAAAAAAATATGGTCCGAATAAGTAACAGCTAACACAATGGATTTGCGATCCCACTTGGGTTGAAGGGGGAGGGATTTTTATTTTTATTTTTTTTTTTTTGTTTGTGTATGTATGTCCCGAGATTAATTCTATTTTTCCAACATTTATGTTGGGATTGGAGAATTCAGAAAATTTATATTCTTAATTAAATCATGATCTTGGAGTTAAACTTGTGTTATATCACCATATTTTAACAGAGGATTTTTTTTCTTTATTATTATTAATAATATGTTTTTATGTAGATAATCAAATCCTTTTATCACAAGTAATTGTACGTCATCATCCTAAAAAAAATAATAACAAATAAAAAAGATAACTGTCTATGTTTGCTTCGGTTGCTGCTCTGCCATTAGGCAAGGTAAATGGATAGATTTGCAGGACTTAGGAATGGGAAGATAGATGGGTAAAGGAGAGGAGGCGTACATCCTCTTTTTCAAAATAACACGCACCGCAATTCAATTTTCCAGCTTGACTACAGGATTGAAATGTTGGATTCAATGGCCATTTTTTTCTTCTTTTTTCTTTTTTTTTTTAAACGGGAATGGTTGAATTCAAAGAACTCAATCGTACTTAATCACCTGAATTTTCATTTTCTTCTCTCCACCATCTTGACCAGAAACTGCTTTGGGAGACCGCTAGATGTTTACAAATGAAATTATAAAAAGGATGAACAAAATACAGATTTTATAATCTTTGTTTAACAGAGATTAAAAAAAAAAACCACACAGAGAGAGAGAGAGAGAGAGAACATGCTAGAAATTGTCAAGAAATAAATTATAAGCTAGTTTATTAGCTTTATAAGCATTGAAAAGTAGCTAAAAGAGGTTGACGGCAGCAGAGAGAGTCAGAAATATTTGGCAGGAAGTTCCTTAATGCCGCAAGTCTACATTTTCCTTGGTGCTCAATTTGACCTTCATACAAACTCTACGTCCTATTAAAATATTGTGTCCTACTGATCCCAAAAATAAAAAATAAAAAAATAATCACACTTTCTACCAAATTTATAAGATTTATAAATTATACTGAAATTTTTAAATTGGGAATTAATCCACTTTCCCTGGTGACTTTGAAATCTTCCTGTTCCAGCTGTCTAGATAGATAACGTGATTGGATTATCATGATTAAAAACAGCAAATCGGCCAAGTAATAATGGGTACAAAGTTGAATGGATGTCAATCATGTGCATGTGTAATTTTGTATAATTAGCTTTCCATCTCCTGCAATCCCCATGCTACCCGGCTAGCTCCACCATATGGAAAAAATGGAAAACTTCATCAATGGAAAGGCTTATTGAATTTTCAACTAAAAAGATAGAGCTCCCCTCTCTTAATCCCTCGACATGCTATATTGATAACGTGTCGTACCATTAACAAATTAGTAATTTATAATATCTTTATAGAATTTTAACCACAATAGTATAATTAGGACAAATAAGGATCGAACTCAAAAAAAAAAGACTTAATTAATTATTTCTTTCGTTTGATTGCTCTTGTAGTGTAAAAGCAATAAAGATATGGGTTTTGTATTTGGAGTATTTGGAAGTAATTAAATAAATTTAAATAACAATAATAAAGAAACATTGGTTGAACTTTATTATTCTTTATCATCCACTTTTAGTTTGATAGTTGATCATCAATTAAATAATTAACTTATCTTAACTATGAATAGTAACCATAAAACAACAACATGTATGTTATCTCCGACCTTTAATTACTTAGTCATTAATCGAATATATGATATCTAATTAATTCTCTAGTTATTAAACAAACTACTAAGCACTAAATAGATTTAATCCAATAATAGCATTAACACAAACAAAGACAAGTAAAGCTAAGCTACCTTACTAAGCGCTAAAGAAGACGTAACCTAATTCTATGTTTTTCAAGAAATTGAACAAAAACACCATAGAATCATCAATCCTAAGTTACTACCATAAGCAAGTTTAAACAAGCAATTACACGGACTTGAATACTTAGCTAGGAATAAGTTAATACAATCAAATAATTCGTATACATTTTAATCAATCCAATCTCATAATGATAACCTAATCATACGGAAAAATATAAAATACCCAATCAATATAAGTTTAAAAATAAAACTCATAATCTCACAAAGCAATTAACCAAAAGCTTCAACTTGATTCAAACAAGAATAGTGTTTAGTTGCTTATAATGAATTACAAAAAGAGAATTTCTATGAATGGTGGTCGCTAAAAAGTGAGGGATCGGAGAGAGTATTAAAGTGAGACCCTAACTTCTCTATTTATACAAAAAGGTAGGGTTACAACACATGCATGACGACTTCATATGGCTTGTTTATTGTGAGTGATACATTGCTTATTTGACTAAGGGCCACGGTTGTGTGATTTTTTACCTTCATCCTATGTCAAAAACCTTTTGCTCGTGTGGAATTTGTCGTCATTCAATGTGAAAACCTTTTACCTATGTGGAATTTACACTACATCCCGTGTCTCCGAATAATCGGCTTTAATGATCTTAATACATGTCGAATTAAGGTTTGTATTCTTTTTCTCACCATTGTTTTCTTATGGTGTAGGAAATGATAAAGATAAATGAAGGATCGCCGCCAAGACAAGTGACGAGACTAACCATTTTGTGTGTTTTGACTTTGGGGTAGCGAGTATGACAATTTTATATAGCTTAGCCAAGTGGCGAACATAGGACCAAATGTTCATAGGGGCCAAAATAAATATTTATAAATTTATCATGATTTATATAAATTTATATATATTATAAATAATATATTATCATTCTATACATAAGTAGATAACTTTTAAATTTTTTTATCTTCATCAACCATTGACACAAATCGGATATAGTTAACGGTATTTTAAAATTAGAAAGGTTTCGTACATGCTCAAATTGCTCAAATTGCATTCTTAATTGCGGTATTTCATGATCAAGCAAAGTCTCGAGAGTAAAATTTCTACACCAACTTACAAATATCATTAATTTTAAATGATATGCGTATCCCTCTAGGATTTAAAGTCGAACTAAGAATGAGTAGCTATATCGTGTGATCATTGAATCTATTATTCGGTTCTTGCAATTAAGAATCTATCATAGCATTAAATATATCAACTTTGTCGTGATGCTCAACTATAATTGCACTAAACATATTCATCAAACCAAAAAATAAATTTTAGATGAAAACTCCAACAAGTATCTCTAACCCTTTTGTAATATCTCAAACTCATTATTAAATGAATAAAAAATATATTAAGTGTAACGCCCCGCCCTGATCATATTTCTACTACCCAAGTAAGGTACTGGACGAAGCACGTTACGCCGACATACCCTAAACTCTAAGTAGTTTTCTTATGATATTCTTAGGACTTTAACAAGTATATTACGTATATAACTCCTTAAGATAAAATTTACATAACATAATTAAATACATTAATAAAACATTACAGTGCGATATTCAATTTCTCACGAACTCCATACCCTAAATTTACGGATAAAATAAAAACTAATAAATAGTGCCTCACATGAGCCGCTTAGGAGAAGCCACCGCATCCGTACCAACTCGTCCTTTTTCCGTCAAGACATAAAAAAATAACGAGGTGAGCCGAAGCTTAGTAAACGGGGTGATGCACGTGATATGCAATATTGTTTTGACTTCCCACCATACTCATAAATTTTAATCTCGGGTACCTCGGGTATTAGCCGCCT